TGCACTATGATTTGAGCTTGTGCGTGTGGTGTATGGAGACTTTTGGTGAAGGAAGTAGTTATATGTTGATTACGTTGAGTGGCATGACTCTTTCAAATTATTTATCGTAGTCGTTTGACAATTTTAGATTCCTCTTGTTACCTTGAGCCTACACTACAGCCCGTCAAGTCCTTTTGATCTACTAGTTCATGATTTTAATTATTTTATAGTAGGAATTAGACAATAGACAAGGCTCAGTGAAACTTGAATTTCGACCAAGTGGAGTGTACCTCGTTATATTCATGAAAGAAATTTAGTGAGGCTCATCCCTATATTCCATTGTCGAGAGATTTGTCGTTCAAATTGCTTTAACTGAGTATGTAGTTGAAGCATGTTGTTTGTGGCCGTTTGAATGCTTTTCGATTTAATTGAGTAGTTTGAGACCTTTATTGTTTGTCATCGCTATCCATGCTTGATCTTTGCGTCTTTTATTTTCTCTTTGTTCGGGACGAACAAAGGTTTAAGTGTGGGGGAGTTGTTTGTCCCATTTTTGTTACATTTTTTGTTGTCTTTTTCCCATTCTTTTTCCCCCGTATTGAGTCGTTTAGGTGGTTTTAGGATCTTTTTGTCATCTATTATGTTTTTTGCGTTCATTTGAGTGTTGCGGTGTTTTCTGTTTATTTTCCGGTCTTTTTCTGTTCTCTTTTCGTTTTTGGTGTATAGTTTGGAGATCCTGGGAGAACAGGTTTTCAAGAATATTTTGGAGAAGCTGACACCATTAGAAAGAGGGGCTCGTAGAGATGCGTAGGAAAAAACGGTACTCAATTCCGAGTCCGAACGAGCCCGAACGAGCAAAAACCGTAAGATGGTGCAGTGCAGCACAATTTTGATCACCGCGGGCCGCGACCCCTTTCTTCACCGCGGGCCGCGGCGAACAAAATCTGCCAGGTCCCAAAACTTCAGCACAGAAAATGTAGCGGCCTCGGAGCAAGTCGCGGCCGCGGAGGCTTTCTTCACCGCGGCCAGCGGGAATCTCCGCGGCCGCGGAGGGCGCGATTCCAGGTTTTTAAAACGGAGATTTCTTAGACGATGGGGCATGGGGACTCGTTCCCAGACCCAAAAGAATCACCCAAAACTCATTTTTTTTCCCTTCTCTTGCCCTAAGAACACCATCTTGATCTACATTTTCACTTGGATTTCTTCATTGCTTAAGGATTAAGCTTGTTATTAGATTCAACACTTGAATTTTGGATTGAATGTAAGTTCTTTCTCTATCTAACTCATGAATAATGGTTGATTTGGGAGAGATGATTATTGGTGTTGAATTTATCTTACGTAGCTAGTTCTTATTGCTAGGGATAGGGGATGATTGTTCTTGTCTAACTCGTATCTGTCGGGCTTGATTTATTCGTTCTTGTGCGAGTTAATTTGATTAGGAATTAATGGATTCTTGCTTGATAATTTGATATAACCTAAGAGTGACACTTAGGTTAATTTATTGATATAATCAGAGAGTGACACTTTGATTTTGCGACTGAAACGATTGAATATTGATTTGTTGAGTTAGGGTTTGTTGATTCTATTTGATTAGTTGATTAAACACCTTCTAGTCTAGTTAGCGACTTTTAGAACCGAAAGGGGAGAAGTCGTAGACTTAGACTCTCACGAGGTGAACAATTTCGTAACTGAATAGTCTATAAGTTTTGGGTTGAAATAAGCGCTTGTCGATGACCCGTCCTTTGTTACGAAAAGTTATTGGGATGGCATGTGTTATATGCTCGAGTTTGTTCATCTATGTTCAATCCCTTGTTACGAAGAGTTATTGGGAGAGAACCGCTAGATGTCTGAGCGAGAGTGTCAATCTGAAATAGAATGATTTATGTCCCGGCTTGCGAATAGAACTTGAATTGATTATCCCCGTTGTTTCGTTAATATTTTTAGGTAGATTCTTATTATTATTATTTTGTTTCTTAGTTAATAATTCATCCAATCTGCTACCTGATTAAAGTGTTTAGGATTTATTTTCTTTTTATGTGCTGTCGATACCAAAGTTGAATTCCGAACCGCCTTCCTCGTGAGATCGACCCGGGGAGCGAAACTTTCGATTCGGTACTCGGTAAAAATAATAATTTGTGCTACAACAGCAAATTCAAAAAAGGTCCCCCATCTCTATCTCTTTAGTCCGTATTTATATTCGGACTAATATCGGCCCGTATATCTAATGGGCTTTTTATGATAAAACATGACCGCGCAGGGTCCAATAATAAAGATGACCGCGCAGGGCCCAATAATTAAATATGACCATGCAGGGCCCAATAATTAAATATGACCGCGCAGGGTCCAATAATAACTAATGGCTAATAGATAATGGCATTTGACTGGCACCTCGACTGATATTTGTCTTGTCGGCGATTGACGTGTCTGTCAAAGTGGCTTCTTTATGATATCTGGGTCAGGCTGACGGCGTTTGAATACGGACCTCGTCTTCTGGGAACTCGATCAATATTAAACAGATAAAAGAACCTGCTATTTTATATTTACTTAATATATATTCACATGTAATTCTTTAATAGGCGAGGCCAAAATTAGGTAACAACAATAACAATAATAATACATAGAATTTTTTTTTTAGCCATGTAGAAATGATAAACACAAATTTTAGCCATAGTTTGAAAAAAACATTTTTTTTAGCCATTTTGGCACATGAAAAGTCTTAAATGCCCTTACTATATTTTTTGTTAAAAAAAAAAAGTTTATCTCTCTTCTCTCTTCCATTATCTTCATCTCTCTTCTCTCTTCAAAAAAAAAAAATCATTCTCTTAAAAAAAACAAAAAAATTCATTCTCTCTATATTCATTCCGGCAACATTCCGGTGATATCTCGGGAATACTAGTGTAAAGATATTGTTATAATTTTTTTTTAATGGGCCACATATATATACTATTAAAATTAGTAAATGAATATGGCAAAAAAAAAAATTGTAGAATAGATTTCTTGGAACATTGAATGATTTCTGGGCCCAAAAATTGATTTCTGGGTCCAGAAATCAGATCTGGGCCCAGAAATCGATTTCTGGATAGTCTCGTTTCTTGACCAGAAATTGATTTCTGACCCAGAAATCACATTTCCGACCCAGAAATCGATTTCTGGATCGTCTCGTTTCTTGTCCCAGAAATCGATTTCTAACCCAGAAATCGATTTCTGGATCATCTCGTTTCTAGTCCAGAAATTAATTTCTTGCCCAGAAATCACATTTCCGATCCAGAAATCAATTTGTGGGTCATAAATTTAATTTCTGGTCCAGAAATGTGATTTTTGGGACCCAGAAATCGTTTTCTTTTGAATTGTTTGAAATAATTTCTGAACAAATTGTGTAAAACAAGGTATTATTGAGTTAAGGGTAAATTTGTAAAACCACATGCTAAAATGACTAGAAAAGATGTTTTTTTAGGAAGGTGGTTAAAATTTGTGTTTTAAATCTTTATTGTCATTTAATGCTATTAACACATAATAATAATACACACACTACTCATTCACACCCATCACCATGGACAGAGAGCAGAAGGATATGCGGTCTTTTGGCCTCATCGGCATCTACAAGGAGACCTTCAAGCTCATCTTCAACCTCCGCAAAATCTTCACCCAGATAACCCTAACCCTCATCCTCCCCCTCTCCATCATCTTCCTCGCCCACAAGCAAGTCTCCGACAAAATCCTTTCCGGCCACCACCGCTTCGAGTGGGCCGCCTACATCACCCTCAACCTCCTCTACTTCATCTTGGCCCTCTTCTTCTCCCTCCTCTCCACCTCCGCCGTCGTCTATGCCGTCGCCTGCAGCTACGCCTCCCGAGAGGTCACCTTCCCCAAAATCATGCGCGCCGCCGTCCCCCGATTCTGGAAGCGTCTGGCCGTCACGTTCGTCTGCGCCGTCCTCACCTTCGCGGCCTACAACGCCGTCTTGGGAGCCACTTTCTATTTGTGGCGGGCCCCCATCGCGGCTCTGGTGGGGCTGCTCGTGCTTTACATCGTAGGGTTTGTTTGCCTGTCGGCGGTGTGGCAGCTGGCGGGTGTGGTGTCGGTCCTGGAGGAGCGGAGGGGGTTCGGGGCGGCGGCCAAGGGGATGCGGCTGGCGAAGGGGAGGGTGTTTGCGGTGGGGTTCGTGTTCGTGGTGCTGGACGCGGTGCTCGTCGGGGTGAATGTTGCCGGGTTCTTGGTTTTCGTGACGTCCCGTGGCGGAGGGCACGTGGTGATCAGGGAGGTGGGGTTAGGGGCGGTGTGCGTGGTGGTGCTGACGCTGGGGATTTTGTTCGGGCTGGTGGTGCAGACGGTGGTTTATTTCGTGTGCAAGGCGGAGCACGGGGAGACGATCGACAGGGCGGTGCTGGCAGACCAGGTGGAGGTGGTTTACTTGGGGGCGGCTCCAAAGGATGTCCAGATTATGGAGGGACCTGGCCAAAACATTAGAGTGGTTGTTTAATTGAATTATTTTACTTTCTTGTGTTGGGATTTGAAATGCTTGATGGGAAAAGTAACGTGCAATTTTTTAAGGAAAGACTGGCTTTTGTTTGGTTAATGAACTGACAATTCACTCTATTGTTTACCTTAAAATTTGTTATTTTTGAGGTATGGTAATTAATTATATAGCAATTTTATTACAGATGTATGCTTCTAAAAATGAGATATGGACTTGAAATGGATGTATATATCAAATACTACCTGTTGCCCCGCACAGATAAGGAAATTTTGTACTATATAATGATACATTAAAGAATTGAGTAATTTTGTTCCCTCTCTACTGTTTGCGATTTGATTTGTCAAAGAGTGGGTTATCTGGTAAAATAGCAGGAAAGACGACCAGATGTAGCTTTTTTCTTTTTTTCGGTACAAAGGTGGATACCAGAGGCCTAAAACGGCTAGTCCAGAACTAGTCGAGGGTGGGACACAAAGTTGTAGCTTTTTAAGGGCATCTTTAAGAGTATCCCACCTTGGTCCATTTAATGGTCATTTAAATTGAGTTCTTTTCCATTAGCACCAATGTAAACAATTCATTCAAAAGAAAAAAAACTGGATTAAATGGTATCTCCGTGGTTTTCAAAATAAAATCGGTCATCGAACCCGTGTAGTTATCGGTTCGTTGATTCACTGGTCGGACCAATGGCCGAACCGGTCAATCCGGTTTAATGAAGAACAATATTTTTTATTTATTTTATATGTATAACTATATATATTTATCATTAATTTTAAAGTACATGACATTTCTCTAAATAAGAGTTCAATAATAGACACATCCGACAATGTTAGTTAATAATGTTGATAACTTTTTTTTTAATTTTATTTTTATATTTGAAAATTTAGAGAGAATAAAAGACAAAGTCTATTCTGATTTTTAAATATAGTTGAGTGTTTTATTATTGATTAAAAAAAAAATTATGTTCATACCAAATAACAATAGATTGTTTTTTTTTCAATAAATTAAGAATAAATATAGCCCAATGAAAAAATACTTCATTTTTTCTTTAATGAGTACATTTTGTTGTAAGGCCCAATGTTGGCCCAATAATTCAACAGTAGCCTTTCTTTGTGAACATATCCCACATTAAAACACAATAAAAAATATGTGTTATTTAAATGAGTTCACAATCAACTCCTTGTAAGTTCTAAACCTAGAATCGTTGCACCGTTCAAACCGGTCTCGGTTCATCGGTTCAACTGATTTTCGGTCGGTCTGAACGGTTTTGGAACGGTTCTTGGTGTTGCCGATTTTATGCTTCAAACCAGACTGGAATGAAGGCCGATTCCCGGTCCAACCGGTCGAACCGGCCGGTCTGGACCGGTTTTGAAAACCATGGGGACTGGGTTTTCAAGATATCCACCTATTCAATAAGGCCTTGTTACAAAGCAACTTTGGAGGATGTAGATTCGACCAAATTCTCTGGTTAGTAAGAGCTTGAAATCCAGGCATTTTTCTTATTTTGTTCTTCTTGATGCTAAAAAAATGTCTGAATTCTTCATGGTTGTAGAGTAGATGGTTGAGTGTTAGGGATAATTGTGTAAAATGGATGATGGTGGAAGTAGGAGATGGTCTAAGTATTAAGATTCTAGGAGGAAGTTGGATCCCCAACTTGGGAGGAAGAAAGTTAAATTTCAAGCGACAGACTGACAGTTGACTGATTTGGGTTAGATACTTTTTGGCTAGTAATGGCAGAGCTTGGGATAAAAGAAAATTAAAGCATAACTTCAATGGGGAGGAGGTTGTAGCCATTCTGAAGATTAATCTCTTTATCCAAATAAACTTGACAGATGGGTGTGGTCTCTAGATAAGAAAGGTCATTTTTTTGTGGCTAATACTTATTCTCATCTCATTGAACAGAAAATACTTAAAATTGATAGGGCCCAAGGGAGTGAGGGTGTCATTAAAGACAGAAACTCAGAGGCAAATTATGGAGTATGAGAATTAAGGGTTTAGTTAAGCACTTTATTAAGAAGTGTTGCACAAACATTTTGAACATGAACTTAAAAAGAAGGGGGATTGAGGTTGATGTCATTTGTAAAGTGAGTGTGGATAAGAAGAAATAAGTTGAGAATGTGTTGTTTAACTGTGTAAGGGCTAAGTAAGTTTGGAAACCGACGTCGGATGAGAAGGGCCTAAGAGTACATCATCCTTTCAGAGCTGGTAGTGGCCGATTAGTGAAATAGATAGAAGTGGATTTCCAGAAGCCTGAATTCAGCTCTCGACTCATATATTGTGGTGGTTATGAAAATCTCAAAATTTGTGGTAGTTTGAGGCAGTTTGGAGGTCGGCTCCTCTAATCATCAAAGCGGCAGTAAGTGCATGAACCGAGTTCCTAGAGGTGCACCGACAATCAATTTGTGAAAGAAGACGACAACAATGAAAGAAGCTAGGTTTCTCAGATCAGCAGTGGTTTTTCTATTGTTTTTTGCTTCGATTTATGTTTGGTTCTTGTTCTTTATGGTTTCATAAGGTTTTAGTTGTGTCGTAACTATATTATATCTTTTGTATAGTTCGTTTGGTCTAGGCTATTTGCGTGTGGTTCTTCCTTTTTTTCTAAGCTTGTTTTAGGCTATTTTGTATTCGAACATTGAGTTGGTTCGTTATGCCATTTTTTATTTTTATTTTTTTTAAAAAAAAAAAACCAAAAATAGTCTAGAACAATGAGGCACCCTCCATATTCTCATAACAGTACAACCTAGCCTGCGTAGTGTACAAGTTTTGCTTTTAATACGTATGCTTTTGGCCACCGTCACCAAGGAAAACAAAAGCTATTCCACAAACGCACTTTACAATTTCCTTTTGCTCGCGTCGCGTCGCCTTCTCCAGAAAATCCAGATTCCAGTCTGAACGTATTTTGCAATTAATCAGTACAGATAATACGTGCTGTGTTTACATCTTTCTCAGATCTGTTCCATAGTTTGTCGGTTAAATTTAAGGTAACATCTCGACCTGGGACTTGATCACATCGTGTTTTTTTTTTTTTTTTTTTTTTNNTTCTTTTATGTTTTTTTTGTTTTGTTTTCCCTTCTAATTCAATCAATTGTTAGGTTTGTGAAGAAAATTTGGGATCTTTTTGCGACGGACATGGGATCATCATCAGGGGCAGCGCCAGAATTTGATTATCTGTTTAAGCTGTTGATGATAGGAGATTCTGGGGTTGGAAAAAGTAGCCTTTTGCTCAGCTTCACGTCTGATACTTTTGAAGATCTCTCTCCTACCATTGGTGGGTTTATAGCTTCTTTTATATTTTGATGATGATATAAATATGCATTATTGTCAAATTGTGATCAATTCCTAATTTGTGGAGCCCTTTTTGTTGTTTTTGTATTTGTCGTTTTTTCGGCGATTGATTAGATGCCGTTTTCTAGCTTATTGAGAATGAACGGCTTGTTACAATGTTGGAGAGTGGAGTTTCTGTTTGTTACTAGTTTGTATTCTATTTGTTTCACCATATGAAGATATGACATTTTCTGGTACACGGTGTTACAGTTGGATAATGGTTATATATGTGTCTGTATAATGGTTAGGTTGTTTTTATCTGGCATTGTGGTGGATAAGATGATTTTGTCTCTCTCTGAATTGCGATACTATTACTAGATCATTTGACCATGATTTTCGTCCTTCGGTTGTTTTCTGTGTTGTGTTATCTGGTTGATCTTGATATAAGCAAAAACTGCACAAGACAAGCAATATGGGGAATTCTTAACCTTACAAATCAATACAAGAGTTCAATTGAGCCATGGCCTGTTGCTTTGTTTTTGTGTCGATATAAAAATGCCTTGGATTATAATGTGCTATTTATGCTTGTTACAGGAGTTGATTTCAAGGTAAAGCATGTTACTCTTGGAGGGAAAAAATTGAAGCTTGCGATTTGGGATACTGGTAAGGATTATGGGGGCCTGACTGACTGCTCATGCTGTCATCATGCAGTTTGTGGTTCAATATTGATTGCTATCTAACTTCTTCTTTTGCAGCCGGACAGGAAAGATTTAGGACTTTGACTAGTTCATACTATAGAGGAGCTCAAGGAATCATCATGGGTATGCTCAAAGATTTGTGTCCGTGTTGCATTATTTTATTCTTGCTATTTGTTCTCATCAGTTTATTATCAATCTATATCTTGAATAGCGTACTTTATTTGCGATCTATTATTGAACACCTGAGTTCTCTTCGTGTTAATGGTTGACCCTATACCAGGGATGGCGGAGACATAATATCTCTTTTAATTCGTTTTTTAGTAGCATTGTAGCTTTCATATCTAATGCATTAAAAAAATGTGTTACAGTTTATGATGTGACAAGGCGAGACACCTTTACGAATCTTTTGGATATTTGGGCTAAAGAAATTGACCTCTATTCAACAAATCAAGATTGTATTAAGATGCTAGTTGGCAACAAAGTCGATAAGGTACTTAATATCAGCATTATAACACTTCTGTATATTTGGATAATGAATGGCACTTTCAGATCCAGGCTTGGGGATAGTTTTTCGACGTTGTATGAGAAGAGAAGTAGTGTTGTTTGTATTGTGCACGTGCAAATAAACATGTCACGGGATAATAATATATTTTGCAGGACAGTGAAAGGGTTGTGAGCAAAAAGGAAGGAGTCGACTTTGCAAGGGAGTATGGCTGCTTGTTCATTGAGTGTAGTGCCAAAACTCGAGTAAATGTGGAACAATGTTTTGAGGAACTCGTCTTGAAGGTTGGTAAATTTGGCTGAGCTTTGTTTTTCTACATAAACCAGGTTGGGGCTATTCTAAGCGATCGCTTATGAGAACTGAATAGCAGCCCTTTACTAGGAGGTGTACCTGTTTGTTTTTTATAATTCCATTTCATATGATGTGAACAAATCTAAAAATCAAGTGGAGGAGCGTTTAGATTTTGGGATTCTGTTTCCAGTCTGACCTCTTGCAAACAATAAGCACTTTCTAAACTCACTGTTCACTGGACGCTCGACTTGTTCAACTTTTCAGCTTATATTTACAAAAATATTATCAATTTTTTTAATCTCAACCGCATCTAACTTGAGATGTTTTGCATTTATTTTATTTATTTATTATTATTATTATTATTTTTTTTTTGTGAAATGTCTCTTTAGTCTATTTTCGTTATATTTTTGCTTATTACGCTCATCGACAGATCTTGGAGACACCAAGTCTGTTGGCGGAAGGGTCAGCTGGTGTGAAAAAGAACATCTTCAAACAGAAACCTCCTGAGTCGGATGCTGCTAGCGGTTGCTGTTGAGTCTTTTCTTGCTTTCAGTTGGTCTCGTTGATGTAACTCTCACTGTTGCCTTTTCTGTGTTTTCTTCAGTACTCCAACTATCTAACGTGGCATATTGTTTGTTCAACTTCTTGTTTTTAGTTTTTGTTTATTAATAGTTATATTAAGGTGGATGCAAATGAATATTTCAGAATGTGAAGTAAATTCACTTGGTCACCTGGGCTACTGAGTGTGACCATAGGAGATCAAAAGCCATATCACAAGGTGAAGATAGTTGATCAATTTCATCCTGAAACCTAAAACTAGGTGTAGTTTAAATTTGGGTTCGTAGTATACTACAAAGTCTTCAAAGGTTGCCTTTTGATTCGTAGTTTAAATTAGTGAACTTTTAAATGTGCAGATATCCGAAAATCTATGATATCGTAGAAAATATTGCGTTATTTTTTATGTGCGTTATTTTTTTATGTGCACGTCCTCACATAATAATGTGTAATTTATGTAGCATTATAGTGCATTAATTGAACTTTTATCATATTACACATTTACCCCAAGTATTTAATTGATATAAAATAAACTTGGATAAATTGCAAATGAACCCCTAAAACATATCAAATTCTCAAAAGGTAACCCACAAGTCCAATAACAGCCATCTTAATCCATCTCCGCCTGAGTTCAATCGGAAGTTAAGGTCACTGCCTTTATGGTCACCCGACGTCATCTTCACAGTCCATTACTTGACAGACTTCATCAGCCAAAAAAAAAAAAGGAACAAATCAGACGTTAATCCTCGTTGATCATCGACGCCGTTGTATGGGGTATGGGAATGACGGTGGTGGCTTGGCGCTTTCGGCGATGTTGCAGTTGGGACAATGGTAAACGACTGAAGGTTGACCTATTGGTGTCGCTGGAGGTGGCGAACTTTCTCTCGCTGCCGGAATTGAGAGCAGGGTAGGCAATTTATAAGACATATACGACAGCGGCGACATGGTGGCAAGTGGCAGTGAGAGCAGTGAAAAACGACTACAAGGTTTCGTCGGTTAGTGTCGCCGGAGGTGGAGACCTTCTTATCGTTGCTATTTGAGCAGTGCATCGCAATAATGAGAAGGTAAACACAGCGACGTCGTTGCAGGTCTCAGGCGGTCGAAAAAGGCCGGCGGTTGGGCGGCGAAGATCTGCACGGCGGGGGTTGTGACTGTGTGCGTTTGAAATATGTGTGTGTGTGTGTCGGTCTGAATGTGTGTGTGCGTGAGAGAGAGAGAGAGAGAGAGAGAGAGAGATGACTATGTCTGTATAAATGAATTAATGGGGATGGTGGAGATATATTGCTGGTGGGACCCACTCAGTTGTGGGGAAACTAAAATTACACAAGTGCTCTTTGAGGTGTCCATTTGACCATGAAAAATACATATATTTACAATTATGTCATCGTATTTTGACCTCAGTTATTAATGTTTTACTTAATCATGTCCAATGATATCATTGATCTAATGATACATATTCATTCTTATTTCTTTCACTATCTTTCTTTCTCGTATGATCCATTCTCTCTCTAATGTCTGACATGTGTTATTAATATCATTGATCTAATGTCTGGCATGTGTTGTTAATATTAAAAACAAAGTATTTATTATAATTTTGGTTAATGGTTAAATTTTATTTTATTTTTGTTACCATAGTTGTATAATAAAAAATTTAAATTCTTAATTTTTAAATGTTATATTATTAACTAGACTATAAAAGATAAATAATTTTATCTCATTATTTATTCTCAAAACAATATAATTTTTTATAGTTATTTAATTGTCAAACCTAGTTAATAAATTTTTAATTAAATTATAATTAATAGTAGGATTATTTTATTTTACTTTTTTACAGTGTTTTCAAACCCGGACCGGCCCGACGGGTCGACCCGGGACCCGGTCGACCTGGACCTAGAACCGCTCCGGGTAGGTTATTTGGACCGGGTAACAACGGACCCGGTCAACCCGACCTTGAACCGGTTGACCCGGGTCATTGACCCGGTCGGGTCAACTCGGTTGACCCGGTCAATATATATATATTTTTTTATTTTTTTAGTATTTTTTACATAAAAAAATAAAAACTATGTAAATATATTGATATTGTATATATTTATTGTGAGATACAATTCTTTTAACACTTTGATGTGCAAATTTTATATACAAAATATTTATTTTTGTTACTTTTATGTACATTTACATGTCAAAAATACTATATATATAATTTTAAAAAAATTAAAATTAACTATCCGGTTCAGCAATTGACCCGGTAACCAGACGGTCGAACCGGTGATCTGAAAACCTGCCCGGGTCAATTTTCGAGCCAAGTTTAAAAACTATGCTTTTTTACATATAAAGTGGGTCGGGTCATGTCAGGACTAGGTAAAATCCAAATATGAGAATTCAGATTACCCGTTTACCTGACGAAGTCCCGATGACCCGGGGGTAAAACCTAACTTGAATCCAAAGAACAATAGCCGCAGATTAGGAAAGATAAATTATAACTAAGCAGGTCTTTGGGTTTGCCAAAACTCACACCCGACGCGTTTACTTCCCTAATAAACCCTAAAATCCTACGAAATCCCCATGTTCGTTACAGAAAAGTGAATGCCTTACTCGTTACAGACGGAGCCCCTGACATTGAATCCCCACTCGTCCGCGATGGCGAATGGCCGCAAAATACTAGCGGTATCCAAATCGGACCTCTTGAAGAAGCAGAAACAAGAGAAGAACTCGATATCCGGCGGCTTCGACTCGCTCGGGTTGAGCACAATGGCGTCAAGAAGAAGGGATACAGAGTGCCGACCCCTATCCGGCGCAAGACCATGCTCTTAATCCTCTATGGATACGAAGTCGTCGCCTTGGCTCACACCGGCTCCGGCAAAACGGCGCGTTCCTAATCCCCATGCTCCAGAAGCTCCAACATCACGTTCACCAGACTGGAGTTAGAGCTCTTATTCTTCCCCCTCACGCGACTTGGATCTTCAGACTTTTAAATTTACCAAAGAATTAGGTCGCTTTGCAGTTATTTGAGTTTTTATCATCCCTGCTGTTCAAAGATAGTGTTTTGGAATGCAAACGGATGAAATTACGTTTTTCTCTTTCGAGCTTTAACTGTAAATGTTCTATTCATGTAGATAATTCATTTGTTCTTGGTCGATCTTCGTTCTAGCTTACTGGTTGGTGGTGATAGCATGGAAAGCCAATTCAAGGAATTGGCTCAGACCCCGACTGCATAAATACTACGCCGGGTAGGCCCATGCCTAATTTGGAAGAGATTGATTGATGACATGTCCATACGCACTGTGGAATACTCTGTGTGTTTGATGAAGCCGATTGCCTCTTTAGCATGGGATTTGCCGAGCAGTTGCAAAGAATCCTTGCTAAGCTAGGTGAGAATCGCCAGACTTTGCTCTTTAGTGCAACCCTACCGAGTGCACTCGCCGAGTTTGCCAAGGCCGGCCTTCGGGACCCACAGCTGGTGAGGCTTGACCTGGAGATAAGAATTAGTCTCGATCTCAAACTCACCTTCTTCACCCTTAGGCAAGAGGAATATACGCAGCCTTGCTGTATTTGATACGGTAGCATATTGATTCGAATCAGCAGACCTTAATCTTTTTCTCCACTAAATATCACGTAGAGTTTCTTTACGCACTCTTTAGGAGAAGATGGCATCGTGGCCTCCGTGTGTTATGGTGATATAGATATTGATGCTAGGAAGATACATATTTCAAAGTTTTGGTCTAGAAAGACAATGCTGTTGATCGTGACTGATGTGGCCGAGAGGGAAATTGAAATCCCTATACTCGACAATGTAGTTAACTTTGACTTCGCGCCTAAGCTGAAGCTTTTCGTTTAATGTATGGGCCGGGCTGCGAGGGCGGGCCGTACTGGGACTTTGTTTTCTTTTGTTACGGCAGAGGATATGGCTTATCTATTGAACCTTCATCTCTTTCTTTTGAAACCAATTAGGCCTGCTCCAAACTGAGGGGGATGTTTTAAGAGATAGAGATGCTGCTATGGCGAAAATTGATCAAGCAGTTGCAAATGGTGGGACTGGTTATGGTCATTTTCCCCAGAAAGTCATAGATCTACTCTCGGATTGGACAGAGTCCGAGAAATCATTAACTCGTCTACGAAACTCACCGCCTTGCTGAGACCTTCTTCAAAGGCATTTTCGCTGTACACAAAAACAAAAGCAAAACCGTCTAGGGAGTGTATTAAAATGGTAAAAGGGAACCGCGAAGGTTTGCACCCGATGTTCAAAAATGAACTAGGGGGTGATGAGTTGTCGCTTTAGCCTTTTTTCGAGCTCTTGAAGGCATTTAAGTGATTCCTAAATGAACTTTAGAATGTGACTTATAAAGAAGCACACATGGAGAGTATCTTGGACAATTTTATCTCATATATGTGACATACTAATAGGCCCAAGCAAACCAAGCTGGAAGCTGAAGGCGAGGCTGGAAAATCGAAAAATCTAAAGGTACTATCATCTATTCTATCTTTGTGCCAACTATGATTATGTTGTAACTAGCTTTTTATTTAGTTTTACTCTTTTAATTCTATTGAATTTTGCCGATGCTAGAGAGAAATCCTAGGGATCTAGCAGTGTTACCGATGGCGGATGGCGGGCCGTGGCGGAAATCCATAAAACCGCCATATCTCTATGTTGGATGGTGTAGCGAAAAATGGTGGAAATAATGGCAGAGCACAGGACTTCTTTATCAAAGCATTTTCGGGTGACGGCTGAGAGGAGCGAAAGTCACGGAGCTCTACTGCCAATCGACCACAAAATATATACTTTATGTATATATATATGCATAAAAAATTTAAATATGAACACAAAAGCACCTAAGAACATATCAATAAATTTCACAAAAAAAGAGGCATTAGTTTTACAACATAGCAACATATCAAGCATCATTCAACATGTTGAAAATAACCACACACACATTAAATGGAAAAAAGTCTAACCAAGCAATTCAAACGAAGAAATTCAACAAGTTCAAGTCTTCAAATTCTCAAACCAAAAGCAAGGATAAATAAAATGTAAATCAAACACAAATGTAGTGATTCATCCTCCCCCTCTAGCTTAACATAAACATTTTTCTGGTGACCGATCATCTCCCTCTTCCTCTTCTCCATCTGAATCCTTCAAATCCACAAAATAATCTTCTTTCTTGAGACTCCTCATCTTGATCTTCAAACTTCACTTCTTCATCTTCAACTACTTTTTCCATGTTATAATAAAGTAGAGCATCTCCATCCTCCTTTTCTCCATCCGAATCCTCCAAATCCGCAAAATCTTTTTCTTCTTGAGATTCCTCATCTTGATCTTCAAACTACATTTCTTCATCTTCTACCACTTTCTCCTTCCATTTCCCTTGTCCAACTTTTTT